CATGGCCTGAGGATCTCTCCATACTGCACATCATTATTCAAAGGCGTCATGGTTCAGAGGCACCATTCTCATGGCCCGAGAACATAATTTCATGGCCTGTGTATCCCTTATCTCACGATTCATGGCCCAGGATGTCATGGTCTAAGGACACCATCCTCACCGCCCGAAGACAATCTTCATGGTCCTAAGGAATTTGCATCATGTTTATATTGTCGCAATAACCCATATATATTTGCGCGCACCGTGTTTTTAAGTTTTTGCAGGTAATTCAGGAGTTAACCGTTCTTCGAATAGGAGCAACCTTCGCTCCGGTTTCCGCTCATACCATTCACGCCCAGCCATTATTTCAAACGTAATCGACTCCCATCAATTACTCGCTTTTACCCTATGACCGTTCAGATATCTGCCGTGTGATAAATCTATAACATCTCAAATTCACATTCGTGACTTCACATAAATTCATCCGATACCATCCTACTCAAAAGAACCCTGCCGAAACACACGACCATTCCTATAACAATTACATCGGTTTCGTTCACCGTTGGATCCAGAACTAGACATGCCCTAATTCCTGTAAAACCAGGGATATGTAGGCAGCTCAGAGACCAGGGTTCAGCCTATATTTTTTCCAAAACACCCTATTGGATCAAAATCGGTCATCATTTCTTTACCCGACAACTCTTTCATCCTTCCCGGGTAAGGAGGGGTAGTTGTTGATACCCAATTTTTCCCTCATATTTTTTAATTATACATATATACTTTCAAAATATTGCACATGGGTTATCATTGGATTTACAAGGATGCACAAGTATTTTTCATAATTTTTCATAATTTTTAAAAGAGTTTAAATCAATTTATTTCTGCATTTTATTATATAGATATTCAATAATGAGCCTCCAAATTATTTTTTTTGATGATTCAACCATCTAAATATATTGTTTATGTCAATATGAGGTTTTAAATATTTTTAGTGCATTTATATAATTACATTTGCATTTTTTAAAGCTAAATTGCACATTTTGCAATAATAGCCCATATGCACTTATAATTATTTATTTATGTAAAACTAACCTTTTATGTGTTTATAATGTTAAATAATTATTTTTATTTATTTTTATGCACAAATAATATTTTTGTTATTTATCTATTATTTTTTTACAAATTATTTATTGGTTAAATTTGGATATTTAAAATCTGGCCCCAATTTTAATTGATTTCGGACCCTATACATTAGCCCAATACCCCATACATCAGCCCAATAACCCCAGCCCAAATCAATTAACCCAATACCCACAACCCGGTCGATTCCCGTCTATTTTGACCCGCCCCAGTCACTTTTAAATCTCAGCCGTTGATCTTTCAAGATCAACGGCCCACATCCTTTCTCCCTTTTTTAGTTAGTCAAGCCCCCCAAAACCCTAGCCATTTCACTCAACCCGCCGCCCTCATATNATATATATATATATATATATATATATATATATATATATACACACACACACACTTTCCAAATAGTGCACATGCATCAGCATTTGATTTACAAGCATGCACAAGTATTTTTCATAATTTTCTTTAATTTTTAAAGGCTTTAGACCAATTTATTTCTGTATTTTATTATATAAATACCCGATAAATATCCTTCATATTATTTTATGATGATCTAATCATCTAAATTTATCATTTCTACCAACATAATGTTTAAATTTTTTTCAGTGCATTTTTATAATTACATTTGTATTTTTAAGGCTAAAATTGCACAATTTGCAATGATAGCCTATATGTACTTATAATTTTTTATTTATGCTTTTATGCACATATGATATTTTTGTTATTTATCTATTATTTTTATAAATTGTTTATTGGTTAAATTTGGATATTTAAAATCTGGCCCCAATTTTAATTGATTTCGGACCCTATACATTAGCCCAATACCCCATACATCAGCCCAATAACCCCAGCCCAAATCAATTAACCCAATACCCACAACCCGGTCGATTCCCGTCTATTTTGACCCGCCCCAGTCACTTTTAAATCTCAGCCGTTGATCTTTCAAGATCAACGGCCCACATCCTTTCTCCCTTTTTTAGTTAGTCAAGCCCCCCAAAACCCTAGCCATTTCACTCAACCCGCCGCCCTCATATGCTCTCGTCCCTCTTTCTCTTCAACGAAACCCTAGCCGCCGTTGTATCAAATCCTCCCACCCCCCAAATCCGACCCCAAATCAGAATCCACCCTGGATTCCCTTACCTTATTCGTCTCTCCTCACCACTGGCTACTCGTCTATGACCCTATTTAGTTGCTTGCCTAACATGGCAAGCAAATCTTGCCAAAATCAAACTAAATCAATTCAACTCTCTGATTTCTGTGGCTATTCCGTCTATATTCATCTCTAAGTCTTTATGAGTAACGAGCATGTTAATATCTTCTTTGATTATTACTTACCCCAAATTAGGGTTTTCAAACTTTTTCAATCGAACCTAAATAGGTCCGATTTTCTGATTTCTAACACTATTCTGCTCCTATTCGTCTCATCTCGTGTGATTTTTACCTTATTTTATTTTGTATTTTCTTTTTTCTGATTTTATACTTCCCTTAAAAACTAGGGTTTGAATTTTCTTTCCCTTTTCTTGCTGATTCAAGTGAATCTTTTATTTATGTGTTTGATTACCTGCTCTTTATATTTTCCCTGATATGCTGAATAAGTTTGTCTGGTATTATTTGCTTAGATATTCCGAATAATTTCCTTGTTTGGGTATTAGCTATGTTTCCTTTAATACTTGCCCTAATATTCTGAACGATTTTATTATGTTCTGACTAATTTTCTGTCAACTCGCTGAATCCCTTAATTTATGCCCTAAATTGCCTATTACTAATTCCTCAAATATTTCCTTGAATGTTACTGATTTGTTTCCATATTTATATGCTGATTTCTATCACTATATAAACCCCTTCCCACTCTCCTTTGAAAAAAGAGAGATTATGAATTCGAAAATCTTTTCACTTCTCTTAACAAAAGTTGTGAACTCTTACTCTCTTGAGCAATCTTATTATGTGTTTTGATTCCCGGCCAGCTAAAAGCCAAGGCCAGAAATCTTCAAGTCTTTGCTTCTGTTTGGTGATATTTTCTATAATGTTGGATTCCTTTCTTCCCTGTTTCATCTTAATTGGCGAGTTACTGATTCCTTTGTTATTCTATTATGATTACTTGCTTAATGTATTACTAAATGCTATTACCTGCATTTGAGACACGTTGAACTTAATTTAAATCGATTAATGAAATCTGCATCACTCTGTGTAATTTAGACCTATTTTTTAGCATTAAACAGGCTTTCATACCTTTCATAATGTGTCATGACTCAAATTCCATTATAGGTCGTGATGGTGCCCAACATCGTTGTCAGGCAAGCCAATTCTAATAAACTAGTGAATTCCATTTAGGTTACCAAAAGATTTCCAACATTTACTTAGATTATATTTTAACCGACCGAAAATCAACAATTTTTCATAACAATGGAAATGCAACCCAAAATGATAGTCTACAGTGTGTGCTAGGAACTAGTGTCACAAGTACTAGGGCAACTAGTAGAATATATAAATACTACGATCCTACTGCCTGAAACAAAATAGACAGTACATAATCAACGACAAAAGAAGAGAACTCTTGTATGCTGCAGAACAGCTTAGAAGGGGAAGCTCATCGTGGGATCTCGAACAGGAATCAGGAACGCGCGCTGGAGGGGTAACCAGATGTACCTGCCTTGGATAATGTACAGTTAAGTACATAAGCGTAGTATGAGTACATAAACAACATGTACCCAACAGGTATCCAGTCTAACCTCGAAGAAGTAATGACGAGTTGTCGACTTGACACTTACTAAGGTCAATATCAATAATAATATATAAAGCTTACTCTAAGCATGATTAGCATGAATATAATAACAATCTCAGAATTTAGGAAAAACGATATATCAATCTCAGTCATGTCATATAATAATTTACACTTCAAAGCAGTTAAACAGAGTACATAATGGATTTATTTCCACATAAATATCATGCGCACATTATCCCGAGGTCGTACGACCCGGTCCAACATAATAATAATTGTGCACTGCCAGAGGGTCGAATGGTGCGAACCATAGATGCATCTATTTCTACCGAGCGATCGGCCCGATCCCCAAATAGCAGTTATTGTCAAGAAGGCACATAAAGGTGCGTTTATATTCAAATAAATTCATACAAATACTCAAGTAAGTGCGTACATCCGTTTATATTGGTTTTTAAATCCCTAACATTTACTAAGTGATCCCATTAGCATGTAAGAACAAAAACATTTTCAAATATGGCATGATACGGGTCCTAAACTACCCGGACAATTAGCATAATAGTAGCTACGCACAGACTCTCGTCACCACGTACGTACGTAGCCCCCACAGACAATCACATGCATTTGTTTTATTCACCTAGCTTACTTCCAAACTCAAAAATGTGCCCAAAACCCTCAATTCGGAGCCGAACGATCCAAAACTAATCAAACGGGGTAAGAACTAGTCAATACAAGCTCAAGAGTTCATAGTCTAGCTATTAGAGTAATTTCCCAACCCTAAATGCAAAGTACCTAAAATTCATCCCCGGGATCACATGCCCAGATTCTGGAAATTTTTTAAGAAAGTTGTTACCCATAACCTAAGGATCAAGAATATATGATTTTTACTCCATTCCATAACAAATTTCGTGGTTAAATCTTATTTTTATCAAAACCCTAGGCTTTTCTCTTATCCCATAATTTTAACTAATTTTCATGTGTTAATCTACCCAAAACCCATGTATTAAACTCACATTAAGTAGAAATAACTTACCTCAAAATGCTAGGTTGAAATCCCCTCTTTGGAAGCTCCCAAATCGCTCAAGTGTAGAAGTGAAATGAAATAAATGGTCTAAGTCCCGTTGTTAAAAGCTGTGTCCAGGCCTCGGATGTCGCATTTGCGACATCAGGCTCGCAAATGCGAAGTCATAATTGCGACAAAACGATCACAAATGCGAACTGGGCCTCCCTCTGCAATGATCGCAAATGGGACAGAAGGGCCGAAAATGCGGACCCTGCTGGGCTCGCAAATGCGAACAAAAATGTGGCAAATGCGACCACTGCCCCAGCCAGGCATCATCACAAATGCGGTGGTTTCCTCACAAATGCGAGGTTCGCAAATGCGGACATTTCCTCGCATTTGCGAGACCTGCAACTTTGCCCAGAAACACCAGAATACCGGGGTGTTTTTCACTCCCAACCTACGTCCGAAACTCACCCGAGCCCTCGGGGCTCCACTCTGAATACTTACATAAGTCTAACAACATCATACAAACTTCCTCGTGCGATCAAATCACCGAAATAACATCTAAAACCTCAGATTTAACTCCAAAATGCATGAAATCCTTAAGAACATTTGAAATTCCTATTTTTACAACCGGACGTCGGAATCACGTCAAATCAATCTTGTTTCTCACCAAATTTCACAGACATGACTTAAATGTTATATAGGACCTGTACCGGGCGCCGGAACCAACATACGGGCCCGATACCAACATGATCAAGCATTATTTAATTTCTTTAAATCCTTAGATTTTCAGTTTAACAATTTTTAACAAAAATTCATTACTCGGGCTAGGGACCTCGAAATTCGATTCCGGGCATACGCCCAAGTCCCATATTTTACTACGGACCCTCTGGGACCGTCAAAACATGAGTCCGAATCCGTTTAATAAAATGTTGACCGAAGTCAAACTTGGCCTTTTAGGCCAACCTTAAGGAACCAAGTGTTCCAATTTCAACCCAAACTCTTCCAAACCCCGGACCAACCATCCTCACAAGTCATAACCCAGTTAAAGCAAGTACGGGAGGTCTTATTTAGGGGAACGGGATTCTCGAAAGCAAAACGACCAATCAGGTCGTTACATTCTCCACCTCTTAAACAAACATTCCTCCTCGAACGGACATAGAAAAGTACCTGAGCTAGGAAAACGATGTGGGTATCTGCTCCACATGTCCTCCTCGGACTCCCAGGTTGCCTCATCGATTGGTTGACCTCTCCACTGACCTTCACCGCAGAAATCCTCTTGGATATCAACTGGCGATCCTGTCTATCAACAATGGTAGTTGGCTCCTCCTCATAACCCAAGCTCTCATCAAGCTGGATAGTACTGAAGTCTAGCACATGGGACAAGTCAGCGTGATACCTCCGAAGCATAGATACGTGAAAAACTAGATGAACTCTTGATAGTCTGGGAGGTAAAGCAAGCTCATAAGCAACCTCCCCAACTCGCCTCAAACCTCAAATGGGCCAATAAACCTTGGGCTCAACTTGCCCTTCTTCCCAAATCTCATAATACCCTTCATTAGCGAAACTTTCAAGAGGACCTTCTCGCCGACCATGAATGATACATCACACGCCTTTTGATCCGCGTAACTCTTCTGTCTAGATTGTGCTGTGCGAAGTCTTTCCTTGATCAACTTTAACTTCTCTAAGGCATCTTTCACCAAATCCGTACCATACAACTTAGCCTCTCCGGGCTCAAACCACTCGATAGGAGAACGACATCGCCGACCGTATAAAGCCTCAAATAGGGCTATCTCGATGCTGTACTGATAACTATTGTTGTAAGCAAACACTGCCAAAGGCAAGAACTGGTCCCATTGTCCTCCAAAGTCAATCACACATGCTCTAAGAATGTCCTCCAAAGTTTGAATTGTCCGCTCCGATTGTCCGTCGGTCTAAGGATGAAATGTTGTACTGAGCTCCACACGGGTCCCCAACTCACTCTGAACAGCTCTCCAGAAATGGGAAGTGAACTGAGGAGCTCTATCTGATATGATGGAAACCGGTACACCGTGCAACCGAACTATCTCCCGAATGTAGATCTGGGCCAACCTCTCCGAAGTGTAAGTAGTCACCACTAGAATGAAGTGTGCCGACTTGGTCTACCTGTCAATAATAACCCAAACTGAATCAAACTTCCGCAACGTAACCCAACTATGAAGTCCATAGTAATGCGCTCCTATTTGCACTCAGGTATAGGTATTTGCTGAAGTAAACCACCTGGCCTCTAGTGCTCATACTTAACGTGCTGGCAATTCAAGCACCTAGCCACATACTCAACTATGTCTTTCTTCATCCGCCGCCACCAATAATGTTGCCTCAAGTCACGATACATCTTCGTGGCACCAAGATGAATAGAATACCGCCAACTATGTACCTCCTCTGGAATCCTCTCTCTCAAGCCATCGACATTAGGAACACATAGGCGACCCTGGAGTTGCAGAACACCATCCTCGCCAATAGAAACCTCCTTGGCACTACCCTGTAGCACCGTCTCTCTAAGAACTTCCAAATGCGGATCATCGAACTGTCGAGCCTTGATTTGCCCCAATGATGAAGACTGAGCAACAACACACGCAAGGACTCGGCTGGGCTCTGAAATGTCCAACCTCACAAGTCTGTTAGCCAAGAACTGAATGTCCAAGGCTAGTGGCTTCTCCTCCGCTGAAATGAATGCCAAGATACCCATACTCTCTGCTTTCCTACTCAAGGCATCTGCGACCACATTTGACTTGCCAGGATGATAAAGAATAGTGATGTCATAATCCTTTAGTAACTCCAGCCACCTACGATGCCTCAAATTAAGATCCCTCTATTTGAACAAGCGCTACAAGCTGCGATGATCGGTGTAAACCTCACATGACACCCCATACAGATAATGCCTCCATATCTTAAGAGCGTGAACAATCGCTGCTAACTCCAAGTCATGCACAGGGTAATTCTTCTCATGAATCTTCAGCTGACGAGAAGCATATGCAATAACTCGTCCCTCCTGCATCAATACACATCCCAAGCCAACACGTGAGGCGTCGCAATATATATTATACATCCCCGAACTGGAAAGCAACACTAGAATCGGTGTTGTAGTCAAAGCTGTCTTGAGCTTCTGGAAGCTCGTCTCACAATCATCGGACCAACGGAAAGGAGCACCCTTCTAGGTCAATCTAGTCAAAGGTAATGCAATAGATGAAAAACCCTGCACGAATCGACGATAATAATCTGTAATCCCGAGAAACTCCTGATCTCGTTCACTGAAGTAGGATGTGGCCAACTCTGAACTGCCTCAATCTTCTTGGGATCCACCTTAATACCCTCTCCTGACACAATATTCCCCAAGAATGCCACTGACTCTAGCAAAAACTCACACTTGGAGAACTTAGCATATAGCTTCTGCTCTCGCAAGGTCTGAAGCACTACCCTCAAATGCTGCTCGTGCTCCCCAAGCTATGTGAGTATATCAAGATGTCGTCAATAAAGACGATAACAAAGGAATCAATGTAAGGCCTGGACACTCTATTCATCAAGTCCATAAATGCCACTGGGGCATTAGTCAAGCCAAAGGACATCACCAGAAACTTATAATGGCCATATCTAGTACTGAAAGAAGTCTTCGGAACATCTGAGTCTCGAATCTTCAACTGATGGTACCCTGATCTCAAGTCGATCTTAGAGAACACCCTTGCACCCTGCAACTGGTCGAACAGGTCATCAATGTGCAGCAACGGGTATTTGTTCTTGATGGTAGCCTTGTTCAACTGGCGGTAATCAATGCACATCCGCATGGTTCCTTCCTTCTTCTTCACAAACAACACTGGTGCACCCCAAGGTGACACACACGGTCTAACAAACCCCTTTGCTAACAACTCCTCAAGCTTCTCCTTCAACTCCTTCAACTCTTTCGAAGCTATACGGTATGGTGGGATAGATATAGGCTGGGTGCCTGGAGCCAAGTCAATACAGTAATCAATATCACGATCCAGTGGCATGCCAGGAAGGTCAGAAAGAAACACATCGACGAACTCCCAGACTATTGGAACTGAATTAATCGTCGGAGACTCTGCGGTGGTGTCCCAAACATAGGCTAGATAAGACAAACAACCCTTCTCGACCATATGTCGAGCCTTCAAAAAAGAGATCACCAGACTAGAAGTACTAATTGAGGAACCCTTCTACTCCAACCTTGGAAACTCTGACATCGCTAAAGTAACGGTCTTGGCATGGCAATCTAGGATGGCATGGTATGGGGATAACCAATCCATGTCCAGGATGACCTCAAAATCGGTCATATCAAGCAACATGAGATCTGCTCTAGTCTCGAAACCATAGAAAGTGACCAAACAGGACCGGTAAATCCAATCCACAACCATAGAATTGCCCACAGGAGTGGACACATGAACGGGAGCACTCAAGGACTCACGAGGAATATCCAGGAAATGAGCAAACATAGATGGCACATATGAATAGGTAGACCCTGGATCAAATAGCACTAAAGCATCCCTATCGCAGACGGAAATAATACCTGTGATAATGGCATCTGAGGCCAATGCATCTGGCCTAGCTGGAAAAGCATAGAATCTGGCTGGAGCACCGGTTGGGTGGCCTCCACCTAACTGAGCAGTAGCTGGCTGACCTCTCCCTGCCTAGCCTCCACCTCTAGGACGACCCCTACCAGTCTGTCCTTCGCCTCTTGGCAGCTGGGCAACCGGTGCTGTAATCATGGGCTGCTGACCCTGCTGTACTACCTTGCCCAGAAGCCTGGGGCAATATCTTCTCATATGACCAAGATCTCCGCACTCAAAATAACCCCGCGGTGTAGCGACCTGCTGCCCTACTGTCTGGCCCTGATGGCCTTTAGACCCACTGAAAGAAGCCTGAATAGCCGGTGGACGGTATGAACTCTCCGGTATAGCACTGAGATAGGAACCAGAAGAACCCTAGGGACCTGAATACCCACTGGAGGAACCGTGAATAGCTGGCGGGCAATAAGAACTCTCTGGTATAGCGCTAAAATAGGGGCACGCTGGAGCACCTCGAGGAGGTGTTCGTGCTGAATATGGGGGCCTCCTAGGCTGAGCCCCTCTCAAACTGACCTCTGCCCCTAGTCGGGGCGCCTCTGAACTCTCTATAGAATCTAGCCCTCTTGTCCTGCTGGATCTTCTCCCTACCTCTCAGACGGTAGCCCTCAATCCTCCGAGCAATCTCCACCACTAACTGATAAGGAGTCCACATCTCCACCTCTCGGGCCATGTTGGCCCTAATGCCAGAATGCAACCCTGCAATGAACCTCCGCACCCTCTCTGCTTCAGTAGGAAGTATCATCAATGCA